CGAGTTTACGCATGGGGCGATTTTGCCCATTTTGAGCCCCATTTTGGGCCAAATTTTTCACGTACTAGTCGACAAAAACTGAAAATTTTCGCTAGAACCTCCATTTTTTTTTCTATCGAATGGATGCAAAAAACCACTCTTTAAATGAAATTCAACTATCCAGTACAGTGGTCAAATTTAAAATTTTTTGCCAATTTCACACAAATTTCAAAAAAGCCCAAATTTCCCAATAGGGCCAAATAAACAAAAAACATTCCCGGCACAAAAAAGACATTTCCCCTAGTCATTAGTCATGTCCAAGTCCCCTCTTTTATCTTTTGCTTTTCCACTTTGAATTTTTTTTTTCACAAAAAATAAAGATTTACTTTATGCAGACTACGCATTAGGTAAAAAAATGGGATAAATATTTTTGGTGCATTGTGAAAGAATATTAGACTCACCATTGACGTGTATTGCCGCTTGGGCCATTTTTTACTTTTGAAGTTTGGGAAAAAACGAACTTTCTGCTACTTTGAGCCAATTTTAAGGCACCTTTTCTTTTTAAAACCAGTCAAAAAAACTCAATTTCTGTAATAGTCTTTCCCTTCATAAAAAGAGACCAAAAAAACTAGAATACAACAATAAATACCATACGAAAAAACCTGCAAATCGCTATTTATTAAAAAAAAATGGGCAAATTTTTTTTTTTCTATTAGCCTGTGTCGCAGGGTTTTTTTTAACTTTCACACTGACCACATAACCCATTCTTTCATATGAAGGGGCCCACCCGCTTTCTCCACAATTTTTAGGCCCTAAATTTATGAGTATATCGTCAAAAACCCCCACGCAAAACACAAATACGACGAAAACCCTCAAAGGTTAAACAAAAACCCTGGGAAATTACAAATCCCTGTCAAGACCTTTTTAAACCAGGAAGTAGTCTCCCTCCTTCTACAACCCCTAACCAGAGCCTTTTATCCTCATAAAAACTTTTACAACATTTGTAACTTACCACCAAACCAGTACTTGTAACATCTGCCACATTTCTCCCCTTTCCCCTCTATCATATGCCCCTTTCTAAATCGATAAATGCAATAAAAACTTCCCTACCTTTATCTAAGTACTGTACACATACAATGGACCCCCGCATAACGATATTAATCCGTTCCTGAGAGCTCATTGTTATGCGAAATTATCGTTATGCGAATGAATTTTCCCCATAAGAAATAATGGAAATCAAATTAATCCGTGCAAGACACCCCAAAGTATGAAAAAAAAAATTTTTACCACATGAAATATTAATTTTAATACACACAAACTGAAAAAGGCATGCACAGTTACATGACACTTACCTTTATTGAAGATCTGGTGATGATTGATGGGATGGGAGGAGGAGAGAGTCTTAATGTTTAGAAGGGGAATCCCCTTCCATTAAGACTTGAGGTGTCAAGTCCTTTTCTGGGGTTACTTCCCTTCTTCTTTTAATGCCACTAGGACCAGCTTCAGAGTCACTGGACTTCTGTCGCACAACATATCTGTCCATAGTGGCCTGTACCTCTCGTTCCTTTCTGACTTCCTAAAGTGTTTTCACAACAGTGTCGGTGTAATAGTCACCAGCACGGCTTGCAATAGCTGTGTTAGGGTGATTGTCATCAAAAAAGGTTTGCACTTTAAGCCACATTCCACACATTTCCTTAATCTTTGAAGTAGGCAACTTCTTCAATTTCTCTCTCCCCCTCCTCCGAACAGTTTTCCTCAGGTCTGGCCTCTTGCCGTTGAAGTTGATCTAGCAGCTCATCAGTGGTTAGTTCTTCATTGTCCTCCTCCACCAACTCTTCCACATCATCCCCACTAACCCCAAGGACTTTCCCAATGCCACAATGGATTCCTCAACTGGCATAGGATTCCCAGGGTTAGCCTCAAACCCTTCAAAATCCCTTTGGTCTACACATTCTGGCCACAGTTTCTTCCAAGCAGAGTTCAAGGTCCTCTTAGTCACTCCCTCCCAAGCCTTACCTATAAGGTTTACACAATTGAGGATATTAAAGTGATCTCTCCAAAACTCTCTTAGAGTCAATTGAGTTTCTGAGGTCACTACAAAGCACCTTTCAAACAGAGCTTTTGTGTACAGTTTTTTGAAGTTTGCAATAACCTGCTGGTCCATGGGCTGCAGGAGAGGAGTGGTATTAGGAGGCAAAAACTTCACCTTAATGAAGCTCATGTCCCCATAAAGTCACTCTGCCACGTCTGTAGGATGACCAGGGCATTGTCTAACACCAGGAGGCACTTAAGGTCTAATTTCTTTTCAGTTAGGTAATCTTTCACATTGGGGGCAAATGCTTGGTGTAACCAGTCATAGAAAAAGTCCCTAGTGACCCAGCCTTACTTTTGCCCTCCACAGCACACACAAATTAGCCTTGAGGATATTCTTTTGCCTGAATGCTCTGGGAGTTTCTGAGAGATACACTAATAAAGGCTTCACTTTGCAATCACCACTAGCATTGGAACACATCAAAGAAAGTAAGCCTGTCTTTCATAGGCTTATGTCCTGGGAGTGCCTTTTCCTCCTGAGTAATGTAGGTCCTGCTTGGCATTTTCTTCCAAAACAGGCCTGTTTCATCACAATTAAACACTTGTTCAGGTTTCAGTCCTTCACTGTCTATGTACTCCTTGAAATTTCCCGCACATATTTTTCAGCCGCTTTGTGGTCCGAACTGGCAGCCTCACCATGCCTCATCACACTATGGATGCCACTATGCTTCTTAAATCTCTCAAACCAACCTTTGCTGGCCTTAAATTCACTCACATCATCACTAGTTGCAGGCATTTTTTTAATTAAATCCTCATGCAACTTCCTAGCCTTTTCACTTATGATCACTGAGAGATGCTATCCTCCTGCTATCTGTTTTTCATTTATCCATACCAATAAGAGTCTCTCAACATCTTCCATCACTTGCGATCTCTGTTTCGAAAACACAGTTGAACCTTTGGCAAGAACAGCTTCCTTGATTGCCGTTTTGTTGGACACAATAGTAGCGATGGTTGATTGGGTTTACTATACAACCTGGCCAGCTCGGAGACACGCACTCCACTTTCATACTTAGCAATGATCTCTTTCTTCATCTCTATAGTAATTCTCACCCTTATTCCTGTAGGGTTGGCACTAGAAGCTTTCTTGGGCCCATGGTCACTTAATTTGCAGATAAAATCACCAAAAACACTGTAATAATACGAAATGCTCCGATTTATGCTTGGATGTTACCGCGGAGGCTGGCTGGTAAAACAATGCCACCGCGGAACATGTGAGGCTGGCTCAGGCCGCACATTAGACGCGTCTCGGACGAATAGCGTTGAGCGGTTTTTTAGGCGGTATGCGAGGCAAAATCTTAGCGATAAAATGTATTGGTATGGCGGATTTAACGTTATGTGATGCCAACGTATGCGGGGTCCACTGTATGTACTTGGGAGTTGACGTGTCGGCGGATGGATTTATGAAGGATGAGGTTAATCATAGAATTGATGAGGGAAAAAAGGTGAGTGGTGCGTTGTGGTATATGTGGAGTCAAAAAACTTATCTATGGAGGCAAAGAAGGAATGTATGAAAGTATAGTAGTACCAACACTCTTATATGGATTGAAGCTTGGGTGGTAAATGCAGCAGCGAGGAGACGTTGGAGGCAGTGGAGATGTTCTGTCTAATGGCAATGTGTGGTGTAAATATTATGCAGAAAATCGGAGTGTGGAATTTAGGAAAAGGTGTGGAGTTAATAAAAGTATTAGTCAGAGGGCAGAAGAGGGGTTGTTGAGGTGGTTTGGTCATTTAGAGAGAATGGATCAAAGTAGAATGACATAGAAAGCATATAAATCTAAGGGGAAGGAAGGCGGGTAGGGGTCATCCTCGAAAGGGTTGGGAGAGAGGGGTAAAGGAGGTTTTGTGGGCGAGGGGCTTGGACTTCCAGCAAGCGTGCGTGAGCGTGTTAGATAGGAGTGAATGGAGACGAATGATACTTGGGACTGACGATCTGTGGAGTGTGAGCAGGTAATATTATTGAAGGGATTCAGGAAACTGGTTATTTTCATATAAGTCGGACTTGAGTCCTGGAAATGGGAAGTACAATGCCTGCACTTTAAAGGAGAGGTTGGGATATTGGCAGTTTTGAGGGATAATGTTGTGTATCTTTATATAGTATATGCTTCTAAACTGTTATTCTGAGCACCTCTGCAAAAACAGTGATAATATGTGAGTGTGGTGAAAGTGTTGATTGATGATGAAAGTATTTTCTTTTTGGGGATTTTCTTTATTTTTTGGGTCACCTGCCTCGGTGAGAGACGGCTGACTTGTTGAAAAAAAAAAAAATGTAAACCACTCATTGTTAGCTTCTCAAGGAAATACATTTTCATTTACATTGCCCCAATGCTCGCCACCCACTGCCCACTACAGTTCACCCCCATCACTGCCAATAACTTGCATCCTCCATCCTTCCTTCGTTGTTACATACATAAATAGCAGTATAATTGTGAATAAATAGATTCTAATGGTTTTTCAAACATTGGTTTTTACCTCTTAAGACTAGATGATGAAAGTATGTGAGCACTTTCAAAGACAATAACAAATTGACATGAGTTGGGCCAGCAGCCTTTCCTACACTGGAGGATGTAAATGGGAAGGTCCAGGATAAAGCTTGGTCTGAATAAACTTGTAATTAAGCACATTTGGTCCACGTTATTGATGGTTCAACCAGACCAGACAGCCATGCAGTACTGCAGATTTGGGCCACTGCATTACAGTTTTTAGTGGATACCCTATTAAGCGGACATGTTGAGCCTGTATCTGGGCAGATTTATTTAGTCTGTTTTCTCAGATATTCTGCTTTTGTGAGGTCCATTTTATTGTATCTGTTTAACACTTGCATTTTATCTAATCAACCCTGCACATTTTGTTGTTAAGGAAGGATGGTTGATTGATGAATGATTGGTTATTATATGCAGTATAACTACAAATGACACATTTTAATCCCACAGAGGCCTGGAAGGCTGTGAAACAGTAACAAGTCTCGTAGTAAAGGAATTGGCAGGAGACGTCCTGGCAGTGGGAGCATGCCGTGATGGTAAAGTTCGGGCATGGTCTTGCACGCGTCTTCAGTGCATTCTGGCACATGACACACTGGAGAATACAGCTGAGGCTGGACGAAAGTTAAATCCAGGAGGTATGTTGTCTAGAATGATAGAATCTGGTTTGATGATAGTGTGCCATTGATAAAGTGTGATAGAAAGCATTGATAGTATTACAGTCCAGTCTAAATGTACATAGGTGGTAAGGCAAATGCCTCTCACCTCATTAAAGTTTGGAAGTGATATATAGTTATTGGAAGATTTTTTTATTTCTTAAGTGTTGACTTGTAATCCAGATGATTGTTACTTCTTAGCCCAGCGGCACCAGATACGTAGCTGTGGACAAGGAGAGGACACCATCCTAGGCGTCTTTCTCAACTTTACTGAGAAACATTTGCTTATAATATATCAGCCAACTGTGAACCTTGGTCAAATAGCACTTAGTCATATGAAGACACTCTACCCACCACAGGTGAGGAAGTCAACAACTTTATGCAGGTTTTGTAAGTACATTTTGCATTACCTAATCACTTTATAACAGTTCTGGAGTTTGTATAGTATTTCTTAACCTTTTCATTGGCCCTGTGAGAGAGATACTAGCTACATTAGACAATCATATAACATAAGAAAGGAAGAACACTGCAGGAGGCCTGTTGGCCCATACTAGGCAGGTCCTTTACAATTCATCCCACTAACAAAACATTTGCCCAACCCAATTTTCAATGCCACCCAAGAAATAAGCTCTGGTGTAAAAGTCCCACTCAAATCCAACCCCTCCCACTCATGTACTTATCCAACCTAAATTTGAAACTACCCAAAGTCCTAGCCTCAATAACCCATCTAGGTAGACTGTTCCACTTATCAACTACCCTATTTCCAAACCAATACTTTCCTATGTCCTTTCTAAATCTAAACTTATCTAATTTAAATCCATTACTGCGGGTTCTCTCTTGGAGAGATATCCTCAAGACCTTGTTAATATCCTCTTTATTAATACCTGTCTTCCACTTATACACTTCGATCAGGCCTCCCCTCATTCTTTGTCTAACAAGTGAATGTAACTTAAGAGTCTTCAATCTTTCTTCATAAGGAAGATTTTTAATGCTATGTATTAATTTAGTCATCCTACGCTGAATGTTTTCTAACGAATTTATGTCCATTCTGTAATATGGAGACCAGAATTGAGCTGCATAATCTAGGTGAGGCCTTACTAATGATGTATAAGCTGCAGTATGACCTCTGGACTTCTGTTGCTTACACTTCTTGATATAAATCCAGTAATCTGTTTGCCTTATTACGTATGCTTAGGCATTGCTGTCTTGGTTTAAGGTTGCTGCTTACCATAACCCCCAAGTCCTTTTCGCAATCTGTATGGCTAAGTTCTACATTATTTAACTTATAAGTGCTAGGGTTATGGACACTCCCGAGCTTCAGAACCTTGCATTTATCTACATTGAACTGCATCTGCCACTTTTCTGACCAAGAGTAGAGTTTGTCTAAATCCTCCTGAAGTTCCCTAACATCTACGTTTGAATCAATTATCCTACCTATCTTTGTGCCATCGGCGAATTTGCTCATATCACTAGTAATTCCTTCATCAAGATCATGGATATATATTATAAACAACAACGGGCCCAAGACTGATCGCTGTGGAACACCACTTGTTACTGATCCCCACTCGGATTTAACCCCATTTATGGACACTCTCTCCTTCCTGTCTGTGAGCCATGATTCGATCCACGAGAGCACCCTTACCCCAATGCCATGAGCTGCTAATTTCTTTAACAGTCTTTGGTGAGGAACTCTATCAAATGCCTTACTAAAACCTAAGTAAATAATATCAAATTCTTTATCGTGGTCAACAGCCTGAAAAGCTTTACTGAAGAAAGTTAATAAATTAGTTAGACAAGACCGGCCTCTTGTGAATCCATGCTGAGTATCATTAATCAAGCTATGCTTATCGAGATGGCTTCTTATAATCTCAGCTATAATTGACTCTAGTAATTTGCCTACAATTGAGGTCAAGCTTATTGGGCGGTAATTTGATGGTAACGACTTGTCCCCTTTTTTAAAAATAGGAATTACATTAGCCATCTTCCACATAACAGACACTACACCTGTTTGAAGAGATAAATTAAAAATATTAGTTAATGGTTCACAGAGTTCCATTTTGCATTCCTTAAGAACCCCTTTAAAAAACCTCATCAGGACCCGGTGACTTATTTTGCTTCAGTCTGTCCATCTGCTTCACAACCATTTCACTAGTGACTGTGATGTTACATAATTTATCTTCTTCTGGCCCACTATAAAAATTAATTACTGGAATATTATTAGTGTCTTCCTGTGTAAAAACCGAGAGAAAATAATTATTTAAAATTGAGCACATTTCATTCTCTTTGTCAGTAAGATGCCCATAGTTTTTTTTTATAGGGACTTATCTTATCTCTGACTTTTGTTCTATATACCTGGAAAAAACTTTTTGGGTTTAGTTTTAGAATCCCTAGCAACTTTAATTTCATAGTCCCTTTTAGCTTTTCTTATCCCCTTTTTAATGTCCCTCTTAATGTCAATATACTGATTCATAAGATGACCCTCACCTCTTTTGATACGCCTATAAATTCCTTTCTTATGCCCTAGTAGATATTTCAGCCTATTGTTCATCCATTTTGGGTCATTTCTATTTGATCTAATTTCTTTATACGGGATAAACGTTCTTTGAGCAGCATGTATGGTGTTCAGAAAACTGTCATATTGATAGCTCTCTTCGTTACCGCACTCAACAGATGATAAGTGTTCTCTAAGTCCATCGTAATCTGCTAAGCGAAAATCTGGGACTGTTACTGAGTTATCCCTACTATCATACTTCCATTCAATGCTAAATGTAATTGATTTGTGGTCGCTAGCACCCAGTTCCTCTGAAACTTCTAAATTATTAACAAGGGATTCATTGTTTGCCAGAACTAAGTCAAGCAGGTTATTATCCCTTGTAGGTTCTGTCACAAACTGCTTCAAAAAAAATCCTAAACTACTACTAAGAAGACGTATGATTCTAAATTCCCAGTCAAGAAATTCCAATCAATATGACTAAAGTTAAAGTCTCCTAGAATTACTACATTATCGTGCCTTGTGGCCCTAACAATTTCCTCCCATAGTAGTCTCCCCTGGTCCCTATCTAAGTTTGGGGGATGGTATATCACACCTAAAATAAATTTTTCATGCCCCTCTGAAAATTCTATCCAAACAGACTGTATGTGTTACTTCAGACTTAATACAATTTAAAACCCTGAATGTGACATTCTGCAGGCATGTCCCGACTTTTTGAATTAAACCACGTCTCGGTTATGGCAAATACATCAATGTTACCTGCACTAGCAGCTAGTCTCAACTTGTCCATCTTATTCCTAGGACTGCGACTGTTTGTGTAATATATATTTAAAGACCCTCCTGTCTCTTTACCCTTCCTGCTCCTTTCTGTTATTCCACTAAACTTATTACTGTCCTTGTCAATTAGTGCCACTGGCTTTTCAATATCCACCTCATTTTGCCTATTACTAGTTCTCCTAGTACTCATATTACTACACTGCGACTTCACTGTTTTCCCGCCAAAACCCATACCACTAACTATTCCTAGTTTAAAGACCTAACAGCTCCCTCCACTGTGTTGGCCAGTGCTCCTACCCCAGACCTAGATAAGTGAACCCCATCCCTATAACACCGTAGTGTTACGCCTGGTCACCTTCCACATTACTTTGAGCCGATATCACTTAACATCACTTTGCAAACTTGCTTATTAGTAGCTAAAATAGGCAAGTCCGACTATATAATATTATCTGGGGCCTCGTACAATTTTACCAAATGGAATCATGTAAATTAATGAAGAATTGAGACACTTATGCAACACATGGGAATCTTTATTGAAGAAACGTTTCGCCACACAGTGGCTTCATCAGTCCAATACAAAGTAGAAATGGGTAAGGAGAGGAGAAGTTTGAGGTAATCAGTCCCTCAACCTGGAATCGATGTGTTCAGTCCATCACTCTTGTAGGAAATGCAGCATAGGGCCAGAGAGGTGGCTTATATACTGCAGTGAGATGAGGTGAAGCAGGAGGAGGTGGGATCACAGTGGGACCTGCCACTAGTGTAAGTAGGTCGTCGTCCAAAGGTTGGGCAAGAGTGATGGACTGAACACATCGATTCCAGGTTGAGGGACTGATTACCTCAAACTTCTCCTCTCCTTACCCATTTCTACTTTGTATTGGACTGATGAAGCCACTGTGTGGCGAAACGTTTCTTCAATAAAGATTCCCATGTGTTGCATAAGTGTCTCAATTCTTCAACTTGTCGGTTTTCTAAACCATTCATCACAAGTAAATTAATGTACAAAGTAAAATTATTTAATATACAGTGGACCCCCGGTTAACGATTTTAATCCGTGCAAGAGGGGTAATTGTTATGCGAAATAATCGTTATGTGAATGAATTTTCCCCATAAGAAATAATGGAAATAAAATTAATCCGTGCAAGACACCCAAAAGTATGAAAAAAAATTTTTTTTTACCACATGAAATATTAATTTTAATACACACAAACTGAAAAAGGCATGCACACTTACATGACACTTTTCTTTTATTGAAGATCTGGTGATAATTGATGGGATGGGGGGAGGGGAGAGCATTATCTTCTTACTGTTTAGAAGGGGAATCCCCTTCCATTAGGACTTGAGGGAGTAAGTCCTTTTCTGGGGTTACTTCCCTTCTTTTTTAATGCCACTAGGGCCAGCTTCAGAGTCACTGGACTTCTTTCGCACAAGATATCTGTCCATAGTGGCCTGTACCTCTCGTTCCTTTATCACTTTCCCTAAAGTGTTTAAACAACATTGTCAGTGTACAGGTTGCCAAAAACGGCTTGCAATAGCTGTGTGAGGGTGATTTTCATCCATGAAGGTTTGCACTTCAAGCCACTTTGCACAGATTTTCCTTTATCTTTGTAGTAGGCAACTTCTTCAATTTCTCTCTCCCCTCCTCTGAACCAGTTTCCCCAGGTCTGGCCTCTTGCTCTTGAAGTTGATCTATCAGCTCATCAGTGGTTAGTTCTTCATTGTCCTCCTCCACCAACTCTTCCACATCCTCCCCACTAACCTCCAACCCCAAGGACTTTCCCAATGCCACAATGGATTCCTCAACTGGCACAGGATTCTCAGGGTTAGCCTCAAACCCTTCAAAATCCTTTTGGTCTACACATTCTGGCCACAGTTTCTTCCAAGCAGAGTTCAAGGTCCTCTTAGTCACTTCCTCCCAAGCCTTACCTATAAGGTTTACACAATTGAGGATATTAAAGTGATCTCTCCAAAACTCTCTTAGAGTCAGTTGAGTTTCTGAGGTCATTACAAAGCACCTTTCAAACAGAGCTTTTGTGTACAGTTTCTTGAAGTTTGCAAAAACCTGCTGGTCCATGGCTGCAGGAGAGGAGTGGT